CTGTGTCTGAACATAGATCATAGTGAGAGCTATTGGTGATCAGTGGATGGTTGGACTGGGTGATCCTGTGGGTCTTTTCCTACCTTGGTGATTCTATGATTCTATGATTCTATGATCTCCTCACTCTCTTAAGTGAATATCCTTGGGATCTCTGAGAATTGAGAGTTTGTTAGGAGACTGCAAAATTGAGCCTAGGTGAAGTAAAAGGAAATGGTATATCTACATAGAACTACCAAGTTTATTTAAAGTTGTTAAGATTTTGTTTTATTTTATTTTATTTTGGCCTGTTTCCTCTGACTTGAAGGCTGGAGGGGGAAAGCACAGAAGAAAAAAAAGATGGAAAGGAAGTCCACTTCCAAGATAGGAAGGGAAAGATTGCAACAGACATTTGGGAACATGAGTGGAAAAACTCATAAGTAAAAGTCTCTTTGAAATATCAGAGATGCTTTGTCTGCAAAGATTGGAATAGGGAATGGAAATAAAATCAAAATGAAAGGTTTTGTATGTATCCTATTATTTCATATATTTAGCTGCAAGACTTTAGAAATGAAATAACCCAAAGAAAATATGTTGGTAGAGTATTTCGTATGGTTTAACAGCAGCAGAAAAGATCTGAATGATTCAAAAAGCTTATATAACTGTTTTGTTTTATTCATGTACATAAATCACATTTACCGTAGGTGTTTTATTCAAAATAAAGTTTTGGGAAAATAAATTGAACAGATGAACCTAGGCAAACCTGGTGATTTTTTCATGAGCAGTGTTTGATGATAAAAGCATAAAAGCATAATGTGGTATCATTTCACCAAGGCACAATATGGATCATCCATATGGAGCAGAAGTTGATAATACTGCAAAGAAGCAAAAATAAACAGAACAGATGTACTTGTAAAATCAAGTCTGCACCCACCCTGAGTACCTGTCTCTTTGTGTAGAAACTTCTACAAGTTTAGCTGGATGGTTCTGTCCCACAGTGTAACTGGAGAAGGAAATAGCTTATATCTTTTTCACTGAGAGCTCAGCTTTGTTGGCTGACCTGCATAGAGGAGAGAATTCTAACAGCCCCAGTGTAGGGATCTCCTTGTTCCTCAGAGTGCTGAGCAAGATGGCAACTGTGCTAGGGTGCATTCAGATGACTGTATTAACCTTCTCTTTCACTGCCTAGTTATCCATGAAAGGGTGTTCTATTTTCAAGCCCTCCTCTTACTTACTTCATCTTGTTAAGGGAAGATTTGTGGCAGATTCGTACTACCCATGTCTCAGGTATTTGAGTAGAAATATAGAAGTTATAAGATTCATAATGGACTGCATAGTGCAGAGATGTGTGGAATCACATGAAGCGCTGCTGCTTAGACCCCCTTGGTCTGACTCTTATTGTAAGTTTTCCAACCATTATTTTTCATATCCTACAGATATTGAAATATTTGCCTGTTTTTCTGCTCTGCGAAGAAAGCATCAATTACTTCTACAACAGAATTCCAATCCTTCTGTCACACCGTGTTCCATACATACACCTGAGCAGATGGAGCAGTTCTGCTGAGGTGTCCATGTGCTGATTATAAATAACCAAAGCAGACTGGAAAGTCTCATTTTAGCCTCATTGGGGCAGGTTATGACTCAGTTTCACCCTTTTTCTGAAAGCATGTGCCCTCTACCTTTTTTGTTACACTGATGTTGAGGATTATTACTCTACTATTGATCTGCAGCCCACCCAATGGCTGTTTACCCATCTATATCCTTTGCTTAATACAATGTCTTGAAAATATCCTATGCTCCACTCTTTCCTACAGGTGCTATTTTTCTGCTCCTTAGAATACTGATGTATTTATAAGCACACTTTGCCATTAGAGCACAAACCACGGTACTTGAAATGAAGTGACTGCAAGATCTGTTGTATGTTTATAAATGCAGCAGAAAGTATTTAAAATTATATGAAAAGCTCTCAGATGTTGTTTTGTTTTTTAAAGCACATCTCCCCTATTCCATCAGTAAAACAAGACAGATGTGGATCAGCAGCTCAGCTATTTGGTGGAATGAGCATTTATGAACCAGTACTTTAAAAAGTGGGCACATAGGAATAGGTTCTTCATGCCATAGCAGGGCAGATCATGTGGTCAACATCTGGAAGATACAATACATGGACTTTGATTTAATAAAGTAGTCACCCATCTGCTGCATTCTCAGAGTGAGGAGAATAAATAGCATGCCACATCCCACACACTCCAGCTGTCCCCAGCATCCAGTGCTCTGCAGTACTGCTAAAAATAAAAAAGAAACTTTACTGTATTTCAACAGAGATTGCTAGTTTAAAAAAAAAAAAAAAAAAAAAAAAAAAAAAAAAAGAGGGAGGCAGTGTGAAGTAAAAAGAGTTGTTTAGAAGTACCTGTAAGCACTTCAAACTGAAGAAGAAAGTTGGGTTTTGTTTGAAGACTGCCTTCTTTTCAAGCACTGTCACATAGCTTGCCAACATTTACATTATATGCCAGCAAGACTGTCTTTTCAGAAAGTTGTCTAGTTATTTCTCCTGTATTCTAGCTCTGGTGTGTTGATACACAGTAGTATCACTATAGCTGCATCACTGAGTCCATAATTAATTGTCTGTAGCTCAGTAATAAAGACTTCGCAGCTTTACTCACTACAAGTCTCTGGGGAAAAAAGTACTCCTGATCCTGTTGAGGTACGATGTCTAACCTAGAGGGACTGACGCATCGCTCGCCTTCATTCTTAGAGGGGTGTAAGGAGGTAAGGCTTTCTGGGTTTCCAGGAGAGAAATAGCAGGCAAGCCCCTGGTATGAATGCAGACTGGTGACAGTATTAGGATTAAGCATGTTGGACAAATAATAATTCCCCACCCCATCTGGAGTGAATGGAGTCCTAGTTTATGTCTTTTCACTCAGTCCTAAGATCCTTGGATAGAGGAGTCTAAAGCAGAGTGGAAAGTATTTTGTCTGGAGCAAGCCAAAAGATTAAGGGATATATTTTTATGAGATTTACTTCTATACTATTTACCGATTTAGCTAATTTATTGCAGGCAACCAGTCAATAACAAATGTGCCTTTAAAAAACAGACTGGATCTTCATTACTCTCGAAGCAAATACCATGAAGTTGACATTACCATCCTTTTAGTACAACAGTGTTTGGGAAATATAGCAGAACCTCCTACTTTTCAAGATATGTCTACTCTGCAGTCAGGAATGTGGCTGCAGCCCACAGAAATATGTAGGTTATTATATTGACTTAGCTCAGAGACTAAAATCCTAAAAACCATCACAGATTTCAGCCTCTAAGAACATATCACTTGTTCTAGATAATTGTGTACTGACAGGGCTGAAGCTACTTCTGTCTTGCTTTCAGTGCTGTTGGTGTCTGGGCCAGTTTGAGCGAAATGCATTTTATCTAGATTTTCTAATTATAGTGCAGATTTAGCTAGGATAATTTTCTCATTTTCTCCTATATTTAAATAGGCTCAAAGGTACGAATATGAATCCCTATTTCTACAACTTGCCTATTTTACACAACTTATCTATTTTCTACAACTTATCTATTTTATATTTCTATTTTTTTTTTTTTTTTCATTCTGAACACAGAGAGTGTGAAACTACACGCAACCTGTAGAAGTAGTCTACTGCATCAGTTTAAGCCTGTACATAATTCAGTTATGTTAGCATGACGCAGTCTGAAACTGTTGAGCCACACTCAAGCCTCACTAGATATATTTCCTCTGCCTCTGGACCACCACTCACAAGAGAAAAGCCAAGGAGAAAGTTTCTGCACTGCACTTCCCAGGAACTCAGTAGTGAGTTCACGCACAGAGCACTGTCATTCCTCTGTACACGGCTTCTTTCAGGACAGACTTTGATAATAAGTGAAGATCATTCACTAGATAAAAGTGAGAATTTAGGTACAGTAAAAGCTAGTTTTTGAATCAAATTAAGTTGGAACATCTCTTCCCAGCTCTCGCGTATTTGCTTATTAATTAGCTTGCCTCTCTTGCAGCTGTGCGAAAACTTCAGAGCTAAATGGAATGAGAAGATAAAGAATTAAAGAAAAAAAGAAATGCTGGGATATTGGTATTTGCTTTCCTGGAAGAGATGCTTTGAACAAATGTAACTGATTAAATCTAGGTGTACCAGGAACACTCCAGCTAATTATATGGATACCTAATAAATTTAGCATAAACCAAAAAAGCAAGCATACGGGAGTGCTATGTGGAACTTGACTGGGAACATAAATCTATCACGGGTGAGATTCAAGCAATCTGTACTCTGACTCATGCTCTAGAGTTACGATGATAATGCAATGAAAATAGGATGGCATTATCCAAGATAATGTGTAATTCCAAGAAAGTATCTTTCTTTACTGGAAGAAAAACAACAAAACTTCTTACAGATGTTTAGAGGATTCTCAGCCTTGTGCAAGCAAGTTATTATTGGTATTATCTAAATGTACTCATATGCCACCCTTGAAGTGTGAACACCCTTGCTAGAATTAATAATGTTTTACTCAGAATCATAAATATGAGGGTAATTAAGAAGCTCAAACGATGACTGAGTCTTATCCACTTTTGGGTCTTTCTTAGTAGGTCATTTATCATTAGCTCTGGTTCTACTTAATATAAGACACATAAAAAGTACCATCTGAACCTTGCACATTCACTGTCTTCAAGGATTTCTTCTTGCGGCAAAAATATTTGCCATCTGGTAAACCTCTGTATGCACAAAATTATAATTAAAGTGCCCCTGGTCCCTTGCATTCTGCTTGTCAGAATGTTCTCTGAAGCAGGCGTGGAGTATGCTATGAAGTTGGATTTTCTAAAAACAATTGGTTTGTTTGTTTTCCACTCTTTTTTTTTTTTTTTTTTTCTACAGTTGTAGCACAATGAATGGCATTGTAGCCTTTTATTAAGTTCAGAAGAGGCAAATGTTACATTTGCATTAAATTAATTCACAGCTATTCCATTATTTCAAGTTCTAGAAATCTTATTGCTAGTTGTCTCTTTTGAGCCCTGCAGAAACTCTTTCTGGACATCCTTAGAAAGCACTTTGCACCTCTGGAACCAAGCAGTAGTTGGAAGCAAGCTTCTGCCTTGAGGAAAACCTGAAATTTCGGCATGTATTATCAATACATAATTCTTTGTGGCACTGAAATGTAAATATATTATATGATAACTAATGGAGAGAATTCGGTTCTGGCTGCAAAAGGGGAAAGAAGAATTCACAGTAAGTGACTTATTCAATTACATGGCACTCTTTCTCTGCTCAGAGAATATGAGATACGATTTCCTATTGTCTTTTTTATTTTGGAGACTGATTATGACCAGCATGATACTAGTATTTTTTTTTTACCTAATGTTTAAAATCTGACCCATGCTGACTTTATCAGAAAAATCACAAAGTACTATTTATCTCCCTTTCCTTGAACGAATGCTGCCCTTATAACCTAGAGGGCAGCATAACGAAACCATTTGTCTCTCAGGGAAGTGTAAAACCTAAGATATTTTCGATGAATTCTATGCCTTTTCTCTTTGCATCTCAGCCATTTTTATGTGAATATGAGGTGTTTATTCCTCTAAATCACGTTTGGCACCTGCATCATTGGGTACGTCTGGGGAGAGGAGATAGGGTAAAGATTTCTCATCCCCATCACTTCTTTCACATTTCCTCAAAGTGGTTGTATGTGCCTATGTAGTTTTTGCTGTAGTGGCATGATCAGAACTTGTTTAATAACTTCTTTGTCAAGGCTTTGATAAGGAGGTTTGAGAATCTCGTCTCCTAATTTAGGTATTGCCTTTTGTAACATACACTAAGTGCCTATATGGATCATCGCCACACACCAAAGGGAAGTAGTTTCAGCAGTAGCAGATGGAGACATTTTCCTGCCAAGCAGACTTCTGTGCCCCAGGTGATGCAAAAGACTGGCCCTAACATCACCTAACATCAGCATCAGCATTGTTACCTCTTTACAACAAGGCAGATACATTTAGATGAAAGTCAGCTCTAAAAAAAAAAAAAAGAAAGAAAGAAAGAAAGAAAGAAAGAAAAAGAAAAAAAAGAAAAAAAGAAAGAGAATTTAAAGAAGTTCATTTTCTGACTTTGTTTATGATCAGAGGGTGCACATCACAAAAGGGGACATGGTACATATTGTCTGTGTGCAAGGACTTCCACTGAATGCATGAACTGGCACAGTCCTTGCTCTGCTCACAATGTGGTTCTTGTCAATGTCAAGTTCTTTCAGAACTCAGGAAAGCTTTTTCTTTAATTCAGTTTCTAGGCTTGGATTCTGTCCTTGGGATCAGCTTCCTCTGCACTGATCCTTGTCAAAAGTTTCTAATTCTTCCCCATGGAGTAACGTGTGATCAGCACAGTCATCCTGGGACCCACCCTCCCTGTTCTGTCCTGTGTAGAACCTCAATTTATTTATTTCAACCTGCTTTGTACAAATAGCATTCTTTATCATCCATAATGCAAATACTTATGACTAACCACAGTATTTAGGAAAGTTGTTAAGATGCATCATTTATTTTACATGACCACTAACTTTCATTAGTAATCATACAGGATTTTCTAGAATTCCTGTAGCATAGACTCGGCTGCCTTAAGACACTGTGTGTTCTGTGGAGAACAGATTCTTTAACCTTTTTTTCATTCTTCATTATTGGCAAGAACATGTAGAACTGTATACCCCTTACAGGAATCCTTGCTCTCATCACAAGGCAGACTGAAGAAATGCAGAAATTTATATGCTCAGAACTTTACATAGCATTCTAAAAACTGCGAAAGGAAAAGATGTCCACGCTCTATTTTTCGTACTACCGTTAGTGCTTCTATCACATTGTTACTGGTTTTGATGCAAGGAATTAGCTGTGCATTTCAGGCACGTTTTGAAATCAGGAAAAAAAAATTCTTCACGTGCAGTGAATAAACATTTTTTGCATGAATATCCTACACTTCACTTGCTTCAATACAGTAGAGGTTTATTGGCTTACTGCAAGCTACATTTGAATGATTGCTTCATATATTATGATATGCAGCATTACATCCTGTTTCCTTTCTATTTCTATAGCCCAAAGACTTATTGGAATCGGTGTGTCTCAGACTCATAAAATAAACATGACTTCAAAAAAAGATTATTATACAAAAATCCACCAACCTTGAGAAACTGCAGAGGTGGGGGATTTTTGTGCTGGAATTCATTTTAGTTCCCTAACATTATTCCTATGCTTTTTCAGTTTGAAAGTACAATCTGGCAATTTATAATAAAGAGCCATGAAACAGCTTTTCTGCAAGAAATTAAAAAAAAAAAAAAATTAGACTCCCTGAAATCTGGATGTAGGATTGCAAGTGAGAGTAATATACTTCAGAGCTGGTGGTGAAAGGATTCAAATAATAATCTTTGGTATATAAGGACTCCACTACTTAGTCAATAAAAGATGGTTAATCTTCTCCCAAGAGCTCTGCAATATAAACAGAAGATAACCAAAGTAAAATGTTTTACATGATGCTATTGTGTATGATTACTGAGGGAGTCAGGGGCAGACTGAGAAGCAGCGCTCCAATAGGGAAATATTGTCACTGTGAGAGAACTGTCAGACCATCAAGACGGCTGTCTTTCCCCAGCAGCTGGGTACTGATGAATTGGAGGGCAGAGGTAGGGCTTAGATCAGAGCAGTAATCAGAATTAGTAATAAGGCAAAATACTGCTGCAGTACAAAATCTAAGCTCCTCCATCCCTAGGCATTGATATTTGATATTTAAGTATGAACTGTACAGCCAAAGAAAAAGGATGTACTTCTTTTGCAAATATATATAAATGCACATCTTCAGTGTTGCAGTTGGATTTATAGTCTAATACCAACCTGAACCAGTGTTTGAGAATTAGCATACCTAAATACACTCTCTGCACTAAACAACTGCTTTTCTCTTTTTGTTTTTTTTTTCTTTCCTCATCACACATAAATTCAGAAAAATAAAAAGCTCTCTTTTTGTGAAGCACCACACAGCTTTAGAAGAAAATAATCTCTAAGGCTCATTTTCTTTTCTAACCCTAAGAATGAAGTACTGGACTAGTTCTAGTGAAATGGCAAACTAGGGCCATAAGATTAGATGTTTGCTGAGGAGAGCAAAGCTGTCAAGCTCAGAAATAGATAATTGCCTAATATCTTACATTTAAGCTTTTTCAAGTTCTTCTTTAATCGCATAATTAAATCATTAAATGCCTTAAGTTGGAAGGGATATTAAAGATCATGTAGTTCCAATCCTCTGCCATGGGCAGAGTTGCCACTCACCAAAACAGGCTGGCCAGGGCCATCTAACCTTGTCTTGAATGCTTGGAAACTGAAGTAGGAAGATGAGTGTCTTAATGTTTAGACATGCACAGCAGCAGAACTGTAGGAGATTGCATTGTTTTCATAGTATTAAAATTATTTTAACTTTTTGGACATACACAAAATTTGGCAAAACTTTTGTGAGTGACTCTTTTTGATTGAGGGGAAAGATTCAAAAACATGTGTAACTCCATTAGAGACCTCATTCATAATGCTTAAAATGCCACCATTTTAACAACATACTCAAATAAATTGAAAAATTTAATGAAAATCAATGAATCATGTCTCATTAAAGTTGTACTAAAGAGACATCAAAGACTTTCAGTAAAAGATGTTTCGGAGTAGTACCCTAAACCTAAATCCTTTCTCAAAACAGAATTGAGCAACAATTAAGGCATTCAAAAATATTAGGTAAAGGTATGAAATTGTTAATATGAAATCTTTCTTTTTAAAATAAAATTATTCAGGTGTATCTGGTCACTTGTACAAATTAACAAAATTAAAAGAACAAAAAAAAATATTCAACCAGCATATCTGCATACATTCAACTTCTGTCAAGGAGACATCATTTCCTTGCCAAATAAGCTGAACTTGCAGTCTAACTATTCCTCTCAGGGTTGGTATATAATGAAGTGCAAACTCAATTGGGAATTGGTTTTGCTGCTGGAATTCAAACTAGAGCAAGCAGACGCTACAGTGAGATAAGAAATACTCCTGCTATGCTCTACAGCTGCATTGTACGTCTGCAGTGTTCAATGTGTGAAATAGACTTTGGCCTTCCAAGCGTAGGCAATATGCCAACAAAGCTCTTGCATGTATCTTTGTGTCTTTGCTGTTTAAAGACTGTGGTTATATGCTTCATTGAAACAGAGGATCCATGAGAGTATGTAACTGATTACGGGGAGGCTACAGGTAAGGAGCAGCTGGGAGAGTGTGTTGCAGCCATCCAATCTGCATATTCCCTTAGAAAGGGGGGGGGGAGCAGAATAACGGAGTGGAAATTTCAACATACAATGCATTTGGCAAACTTCTGAACTTGGGTCTTATTCTTGTCCATATTGAACTGTTTTATTGCAATGTGTGCAGTTTGGGAAGGTCACACACTTGTTCATACTGCGCTGTAAAGCAAAGTAGCTCACTTTTATAGCTTAGCAAAAAAAAAGCATAATAGGACCTGTAGAAACAAATAAAGCCCTAATGGTTGCTGCATTGAAAGATGGACTATGTTTTTGCTCTTCTTCATGTCTCTGAATGTTAATAATATGATAAAACACTCTATTCTTAATATCTATTTATGCTACTTGATTTGCTGACGATAATAAATTGGGAGGAGCTGTTGAGTTTGTTGAGAGTAGAGAGGCCTTAACAGAGGGATCTAGACAAATTAGAGAGCTGGGCAATCAACAACCACAGAAAGTTTAACAAGAGTGCCAGATTCTGCATCTGGGAAGGGACAAACCTGTCTACACACACAGACTGTGGGATGAAATGTTGGAGAGCAGCTCTGCTGAAAGAGATTTGGGGATTTTGGTGGACAACACAAGAACAAGAGTAAATAGAGTACCCAGCAGATAGGAAGGCCATCGATCTCCTGGGATGCATCAAGCTTGATGTGGTTGAGGGAAGTGGTTGTCCTGCTCTACACTGCAGTAGTGCAGCCTCAACTGGAGTGCTGTGTGCAGTTCTGGGCTCTGTAGTACAAAAGGGGCATAAAACTATTAAAGAGTGTCTGAAGGAGGACGACAAAGATGATCAAGAGTCTGGAAGGCAGGGTATATGGGGCCCCTTGGTGTGCTCAGCCCAGAGCAAAGCAGGATAAGGGGAGGCATAATTTGAATAGTTGCTTTTAAGTTGCTGATTATAACGCTCTGGCTGCCAGTAAAAAATAAATAGATA